TAGATCGCCGGAGTCCAGCAGGTCGAGGCTGCGGTGGCCGGGAGCGGCCACTCCACTCCAGTCTGGGCGACGGAGTGAGACTCCAACTAAAAAAAAATAATAATAAAATAAAATAAAATCCTGGTTTCACTGCTTTCAGGTTATGTGACACCTCACCTCTCTGAGCCTTTTTCTCATCAGCAAAATGAGGGAAATATGTAACCAGATAGGACGATTGAATACAACAATCTGAAATTATCTAGGTACTTAATAAATGCAAGATGCTCTCCTTTTCCAAGTAGATATGGGTTTAAAGTCTAAGCCTAGGAAGACTGGGCCAGATTAGAGGCCGCAAGCATCTGAGGCTGGAAGGCAGATGCCTACATTATGTCTAAGGGAGTGAGGAATAGTGAGACAGCGAAATGTATGCAGAACAGGGCACTAGAACTGAGAGTGCAGAACAGGGCCTGAGGTCACTGAGAGTGGTATGTGGGTAGATAGGTGAAGGTGGAGACCCAGGAAGGTGAGAGCTACCATGATGGCATCAGAACAGGGAGGTCAGAGGTTGCCCGTGCCCATCTCCAACAGCACCCATGCCTGCCGCTGGCTTTTACAGATAGGCTGCACGCAGTGCATACATGGGTAGCTGGGGTCTACACAAAGGGCGGGCTGGACCACAAAAGCCTCCTCTCCTGGTGCTCCTTTGGAAAATGGCCTGACCAAACGCAAGAGTCTGTACTTCAGGTCACATGTCCCAAATGGAATGATGTCATCTGCTGCTTTGATCTTGAGCCCTTCCTGTAAGTATGCCCAGGGCTCAGTAGTACCCCCTGGAGTTAGAATGACCCTTGACTCTTGGGTCTAGACACCTGTACACCACCCATTCAGGCCATACTTTAACTCCTTCTGGGGCAGCAAAGACAAAGAACCCCATAGGCCCTCTCTCTGGTCTGGCTCAAGAAGGGGTTGTCCAGACAGAAAACTAGGAAAGAATTGGCTCACTCCCTCATTCACTTGTCAGCACTGAATCCCCTGCTCAGGCCAACTGGAGAGACACGGAGAAGCAGCTTTCGAATTATGTCAGACATCTGTGCTACTGCAGAAGTAATAAGGAGCGAGTCGGGAAGTGGGGAGTGGGACTAGGGAAGCCTGGAGGAAAAGGAGGTCTGGAGCTAAATCACAACAGACCAATTAATTGGTCTTTCCCAAATAATCAGAAAAGAAAGAAAGGAATCACTGGCCAACCCTGGACAAATATGTTCATTCATCCCGTTCAGAAGCAGGCTGGAGCCTTAGTGTGTGTGGAGAAGAGAGAAGGAAAACAAAGGCAGAAGTGGGGCTGCAGAGGAGTGCTTGAGTCGGGTCATGGAAGACCTTCCTAGTCAGCTTCAAGCTTCTGAATTTAATCTTGAAGGGAACAGAGAGTCATTAAAAGTTCTGGCTGGAGTCGGGCTCGGTGGCTCAGCCTGTAATCCCGCGCCTTGGGAGGCTGAGGTGAGTGGATTGCCTGAGCCCACGGGTTCAAGACCCACCTGGACAACGTGGTGAGACCACATCTCTACAATAAATTTAAAAATTAGCTGGGTGTGGTAGCGTGCACCTGTAATTCCAGCTACTTGGAAGCGGAACGATCGCCGGAGCCCAGCAGGTCGAGGCTGCAGTGGCCGGGAGCGGCCACTGCACTCCAGTCTAGGCAACAGAGTGAGACTCCAATTCAAAAAAAAAATAAAAAATAAAAAAAAGTTCTGCCTGGACACAGTGGCTCATGTGTGTAAGCCAAGCACCTTGAGAGGACAAGGGAGTATTGCTTGAACCCAGGAGTTTGAGGCCAGTCAGAGCAACATGGCAAGACCTCATGTCTACAAAAAACTAGCCAGGCATGGTGGCACACACCTGTAGTCCCACCTACTTGGGGATCTGAAGTGGGAGGACTGCCCGAGCCCAGGAGGTTGAGGCTCTGGTAAACTGTGATTGCACCTCTGCACTCCAGCCTGGGCTACAGAGTGAAACTTCAACTCAAAAAGAGTGCTAGCCAGGTGTGGTAGCGCGGGCCTATAGTTCCAGCTACTTGGAAGGCTGAGGCGGAAGGATCGCTGGAGCCCAGCAGGTCGAGGCTGCGGTGGCCAGGAGCAGTCATTGCACTCCAGTCTGGGTGACAGAGTGAGACTCCAACTCAAAAAAAAAAAAAAGAGTGAAGTACTGATACATGCTACATCAATGAACCTTAAGAACACTGTAATAAGAAGCCAGACAGAAAAGACCATGTATTTTATGATTTCATTTATCTGAAATGCACAGAATAGGCAAATCCAATGACAGGAAGATTAGCCGGGCACGGTGGCTCACGCCTATAATTCCACCACTTTGGGACACAGAAGCAGGAGGATCACTTGAACCCAGGGGTTCAACACCAGCCTGGGCAACTTGGTGAGACCTCATCTGTACAATGAAAAACAAAATATGCACTTTGGGAAGCTGAGGTGAGAGGATTGCCTGAGCCTGGGGTTTAAGACCAGCCTGGGCAACATGGTGAGACCTCATCTCTACAATAAATAAAAAAACTAGCTGGGCGTGGTGGTGTGTATCTGTAGTTCCAGGTACTTAGAAGGCTGAGGGAGAAGGATTGCCTAAGCCCAGCAGGTAGAGGCTGAGGAAGCTGTGAGCGTACCACTGCACTCCAGCCTGGGTGACAGAGACTCCAACTTAAGAAAAAAGCCAATGTGGTGGTGTGCACCTGTAGTTGCAGCTCCTTGGAAGGCTGAGGCAGAAGGCTTGCCTGAGCCTAGTAGGTCAAAGCTGCAGTAGCCATGATTGTGCCACTGCACTCCAGTCTGGGCGATAGAGACTTCAATTCAAAAACAAAATACAAGAAAATTAATGGTTGACAGGCCTGGGGAGTAAGGAGGGGGCAGGAAATAACAGAAAGGTCTACTAATGGGTCAGGTTTATTTTTGGTGGAAAAAAAAGATTTTAAAATTAGATTGTGCAGGCTAGGCATGGTGGCTCATGCTTATAATCCCAGGATTTTGGGAGGCCAAGGTGGAAGGATTGCTTGAGCCCAGGAATTTGAGACTAGCCTGGATAACGTAATGAAACTCTGTCTCTAAAAACAATTTTTAAAAATTAGCGGCTGGGCACAGTGGCTCAGACTGTAAACCCAGCACTTTGGGAGCCTGAGGGAAGAGGACTGCCTGAGCCCGGGGGTTCGAGACCAACCTAAGCAACTTGGAGAGAAAAACTTCATCTCTACAATAAATCAAAAAACAGCTGGGCTCGGTGGCTCAGCCTGTAATCCCGCGCCTTTGGGAGGCTGAGGTGA